TATTATTATTATTACAACCCCTAGCATGGGCTCCACTCTCCCTGTCTTCCTCCTCCCCCTCCACCCCAGAGGATGCCGGGAACAAAATGGAGCTGCCATGCATTCGGAGATCCAGTCTCCTCCTCCTCCTGCTGCCCGCTCCACCGCTACCGCCCCCCAGGCACACATGCCCCCCACATGCCCCTTGGAAAAAAAAGAGGAAGAATTAAATAAAAACAACCCGAAATAACTAAGAAAGAGACTAGGCTTACCATACTGAAATCCAGCAGATCACTCAACTCTTTATCCGTTCCAGCCGCGGCCATTCTCTGTTGCTGGTTCATATTCCCACCGAGACAAGCCAGCTTCCGTCCCTTTTAATTTGGGGGTTTGGGGGGAGGAAAAGATGAGGGGAAGGGCAAAAGACCAGTTTTGGGGGGGTGTCATCGGGGAGGAGAAAAAGGAGGCCAGGAAGAGGGAGAAAGAGAGAGGTTTTTAAACGGAGGAACAAAGCCCAGCCTAGCAAAAACAAGGACAGCTTTTCTGTGATTTGCAGAGCTTTTTAAACAATCCCATTTCCTGCAAAAATAGCAAATAAACAGGCTTTCAAGGAGCAACAAGTGAATGATGTAAAACACACGCACACACAAAAATAAGTCTGGCCATCCCTTCGACACTCAAACAAATCACGGCTAGTAGGAAATGCTGAGGACCCAGGAGTTGTGGGGAAGAAAATTCAGATTTCTCAGACTTGAGCCACCTGTTGCTCTGGGTGCAAATTTGAAATATGGTAGATTTGAAAGAAATTTGAACCTGGAGATCTGCGAGGTCCTGGAAGGACCTTCCTACAACAACAAATGTTTGTTTAAAACTCCGAAATGCAAGATTTTTGGGGGGAGCGATCATTTTAAGGCATCTTTTAATGCATTTTTTAAAAGTCTGTTTTCCTTGGCAAACGGGACTTTAAAACTCCCCCAAAGGAACTCTGCACTGAACACCAAGGGATGTTCACCCTTCGAGGTGTCCCTCGTCTGCGTCTGTACAAAGAAACACAGAGTGGGAAAGTTACTTTTATTCCTTTCAGTGTCAGGAAATTTTTTTTTAAAAAAAAGGTCCTCCTGATTTGCTGCAATGCTGCCTTAGCTTGTTTCAAGAAAAAACCTAAACTAAACAGGAAAAAAAACTGGGTGGGGGGGCAGTGGTTTTAAGATTAAGAAGTTTATTCTAGGGCAGTCTGAACTTGTTACACCTTGCCTGTTACTTTTGTCTTACTTAGAAACCCAGAAAGCAGAGGCATAAAGCTTGGGGGTAAAAAAAAAAGAATCTAAAATACCCTTTCAAAATAAGTTTTATTATAAACCCCAGTAAAGTACTGTAGCTTGGACTCTTAACTCGTTGCATTGCTTTTGAAATGTAACTTGGACACACTCTGGTTCCCCAAGAAGAACTAGTTGCTGTTGACTTATAACTTGCAATGTGCAATTTCCAACTGGGGTGCCTGGTATTGAAGAGGGGCAAGATGGGAGGTCCCCTGTAACCCCCCGCCACAAGATGTGTTGGGAACCTTTTGCTCACGCTGGCTGGAAAATGGCAGAAAAATAGAAAACTGGGCAAGCTCATGGAAAGGTTGTTTTTTTCCCAAAGACTCAGACAGGTGGGTAAAATCTAAAAGTACCAGAAACTGAGAGAATGGGGAAAGGGAACATGTTGGACCAAACCTTTTGCACCCCATGATCCCACAGCTGCAGAAACAGGCAGACTGAACAAGCGATCCATTCATTCCTAGCAAGACAAACTTACTCCCAAGTAGACAGGCACAGTCTTGTGCCCACCTTCACTAGCCTGGCAGGAAGATACCCAACCAGGTGAGAAGACAAATGGCCTCTGCCAGTCTTGTGCTGGCTCCTCCTACTTCACCTCTGGCCCCACCTCATCTCCATAGCCTCACCTACTGCCAGCAAATGACCCGGGAAATTCTGACCTCCATTCCAGCCAAAAAATGGATCTCGTGTCTACTCTATATTTTGCTTTTCAAGCGACATTAGTTCTGCCTCTTAAGGACCAAAACCACCACATTCGACAACCACACAAATGAATGGCAGGTATAAACAAGCTGGCCAAGCTTTATTCGACTTTGTTCGCCTTACACACCCGATTCAATGGCTCAGAAAAACATTTTCTCACTTGCTTTCCATTTTTAATCTCCTTTCACCTCCACGCCAGTCTTCTCTTACCTCTAAATGTTCTAGGATAACAACTCCCATCATGCTTAGTAAACCCAACCAGCAGGGAGAAATCATGGGAGTTTAAGTGCCAGACCTATCCCAGGAGAGTCAAAAACTGACCATGATCAGGGGATGTGGGTGAGAAAGTTTTCCAAGCGGACCCGTTTTGGCTCAAATCATATTATTTTCCCTACAAGTTGCTAGTCCACATTAACCAGCCACGACAGTCAGAAGACAAGAAGGGATTGGGGGGGGGGTGATTTCCAGCATCAGATTCCTCTACACTCAACAGTAAATTTTGTTGTTGCTGGTGGGCCTTAATTTTTTGGAATACAGATTTAGTGCGGCAGTCCTAACTCTTCATGAAGGCATATAATCCCATGCGCAGCATTCTATGGAGCAGTGCCAGTCCAAACTGTGGGATTTACTCTTGAGTAAACACACTCTGGCTTGGCAACAAAAATAAATACACACAAACACGATCACATACTTTTGTCTTCATGATGCGCAAGTCATTCAGAAAGATGTAAGACGGCTGGGGGGTTGTTATTATATTATTACTCCTGTGACTATTATTATTGTTGATGAATTAATTTGTTTCCTGCTACAGTTTTCAAAGCTGCTCCTCTCATTTCCCCCAAAGCGCCACCCTAAGAAAAGGTCAAGGGACAACCCTGAGAAAGAATAAAATCCGGGGAATCCAACAGATTTGAGGCTGGATCCCAAATCATGAAATAATTTTGCTAAGTCCTTACAAAGGGCAGTTTAATTTCCATCCGACTTCCGCAGGATTCACGGGGGGGGGGAGGACAACCTGGGTGGTAGGGGTGGGGAAAATAAAATTATTTAATTTAAAATTATATGGAAACATAAACAATTATTTGAAATATACACTGTCTCCATCGTATCGGGGTGGGCCGTGAGTAAATGTCAAGAACCAGGGGCACTTAGAGAGAAATCTTCCTAAGGTACAAAAAAAAAATGTTTTTATTCTATTTTATTTTGGAAAAAAAATCACCATTCACCCCTGTAGGAATGAGAGGGGAGAGGTACAAAGCAGAATTTGGCTTTTGGAGGGGTGGGTCAAATCCAATGAAATTTGAAGATTTAAGCATGCCACTGAAATGCTGAAAAAAAAATGTGTGTGTTTTTAAGATGAACCTGCAGCCTTGCAGTCTCTCAGCTGGAGTGGGGGGGAGCCTCTCTTGAATTAAATGGAATTAAATGTAAACCCCTGCCCCCCTCCCTCTCCGGTAACTTGGAAAAATTAAAAAGGGAGGAAAAGAAGGGGGGGAAATTTAAGTGGAGTAGGGGGCACTTTCAAGAGGAACAGATCGGTTTCAGGGCTAGCTTCTGGCGGATGGGAAAGCCACGAAAGGCCTTCTCCAGCAATGAAGGGGGGGGGCTTGGGAGCACTTAGCAAAGCGGGGGAGAAAAAAAAACCCATCCAAAAGAGCACTCCCCCCCCCAGCACAGCACTGGGGTGGGGGAAAGGCACCTACTGCACAGATCCAGGATTAAAACCTGCAAAGGGTGGGCTGTTCTCTTTTTTTAAATTAATCCTCATCTCAACATTTAAAAAAGGGTACTCAAACTCCCCCCCCCCTTAGCAGGCAACTCACACAAATGTGGGGCGTCCCTGCTTTTAGACCTAGCCCCCTCTCCCTTAACTAGACTTTTTTTCGGGGGAGTTTCCTCAGTGCGAAATTTGGCAAAAAAAAAAAAGCGTGAACAGGACAAAGACTTGCCTGCCTGCCTCCCTCCCTCCCCCTTCCTCCTCTTTCTTTTCCCCACTTTCCCCCCTCCTTCCCCCACTTTTTAGGGGGAAAAAAGAATCCAGACAAGCGTTCTATCCCAGTGCAACTTAACACACACAGAAAGAACTCCACACAAAGCAAAGTCCATGTTGCGTGCGTGGGGGGAGTGCAGTCCTGGCCTCGTGTAAAGGCAGGAAAAGTTTCAAGACACACAAAGCTGGTCCAGCAGCTGTGTCTCCTTTCCCTACACACACACACACACACACACTGGATAACCTCAGCTTTTAGGACTACGGGGAAAAAAACCCATGTTATTTCTTGCCCTCCCCCCCCCACTAGTTCCAGCAGACAAGGAATTCCTTATCCGCGAACAGCTGCTGTCTACGACTCCGGCTCCCCCCCCTCAGACCCCAATCCATGGGTTCCCCCTTCCTCAATAAGGCAAGAAAAATACCCTAAAATTTGGGGGAAATGGACTAGCCGGCTTCCCCCACGTGGATCACAAAAGGCAGAATGGTCCCTAAACAAAGAATCACCAAGTTCATATCGGATACAGACCAGCCTCAAAGTAGAAAATTTGTAGTAAGGCCAGGACGAAACAGAAAACCAGGCAGAGGGAAATGCTTTTACACACACCTCCAAGGTCCGGACAGAAACCCCAGCCGGGTGTGTAAGCTGCGTGGACACACACACACAACACAACATAAAAACGGGTTTATTTTTGGTCTAGGGCCTTTGTGGAAGGCCGATGTGTAACCTAAAAGGGGGGGATCCCAAATTTGAAATTAGGAGACTCAACTTTTATCTTTTGTTCTCTGCTAAAGCAGAATTTTAAAAAAGAGATGGTTGTTGATGCCATTTTAGAGTGGAAAAGAAGATAAACAAAGTCAAGTCAACTTCAGGCAGTAAGTTTTTAACCAGCCACCCCCCACATTAATAAACACACACACACACACACACACACACACAAACCCCAAAAAGTTCTGCTTTGCACTAAATGACCAAATAAACACATTAAAAGGAGGGGAAAAACAAAAACACGGGGGCAGCACACAAACACACAAAACACCCCCTTATTATTATAATTTAGCCTAGCTATATTTTTAATTTAGGCCCAGAAAACTTTCTTTCTGATTTCATTCAAAAGTAGCCACAAAGCAGAAGGGGAAGGAAAAGTGCAAACCAGAAAAAGAGTGACATGGGGGTGGGGTGGGGACAGACAGCAACATCCCATAATTTTGCTCTAGGCCATATCTCCCCCCCCACACACATCTCCACACAAACGTTAACAAACAAATACACACACACACACACAAGGTGGGTAACAAAAAGACTTCCCAGAGGAAGCTAGGATACAGAAAGAAATCCATGCAGAACATTTCAAGATTAAATTTAGGGGGAGTTTAGGTTTTACCCCCACTTTTTCTGGTGGGGGAGAGGTTAAGGAAAGGGAGAGAGCCCCTTTTCCTGGAAAAAAAAAGCTTTTTCCAATTTTAAACCACTTACAAATAAAATCAAAACCATCATCTTAGAACTGCAGAGCGGAATGAAGCTTATGGAACACGGGAGGGGGGTGGAGATCTAGGAATAGCCCCCAAATTATGGAAAATTTGATAGGGGGCCAGAGAAAAGAAGAAAATAGACCAAAAATAGGGGATTTCGGAAAGGGGTCATGATGTAATCACCTCTATCCACCTAGGAGTCTTCTGTTCTCTGGTCCTCCTGTGTCCCCACACCACCACCCCAAATGTGATGGGAAAACTGAAACTCTTGAGGGGGGGCAGAGGGGGTTTCTCAAAAGCAGGCCTCTGGAACCCCCTGGAATTTTTGGTTCCCCAAAATAAAAGCCACCCAAGAAGGTGGCTCGAAATGTAAAACTTCTGGTTCTGGAGATGGGGCAGCCAGGAAAAGCCAACTTCCTAGGTCAAGCTTGCTACCCCCCCATTGGAAAAAAATAATTCTCAACCACCCTTTTTCTCTCTCTCTCCCCCAACAAAAACCTACCAATGTTGGACCTGTTGGCGCCTGGAGGGGCCTTCCGAAATGGGGGGAGGAGAGAAGCCTAGCCCCCCTCCCCTAAAAAAATTGGAAAAGGTCCCCAGGAGGTTTAAAGATTCGACTTGGAACTTGACTGCAGGGAAATGCACAACCATCAGAACTTCTCTCCCCCGTCACAACACATAAAAACGAGTTTTCCCTCCTCCTAAAGAATAATAATAAAATAATCCTCCATGGTATGGGGAAATGGGGCGGGGGCCCCCCGCCAAACTCTCCCCCACTCCCAGCTCGACTTGGCGAAAGATCGACAGAAAGTAACTATCCAAGCTCCTTTCTCTCAATCGCGTACAAAAAGGGAGGGGGTGGGAAAGGGCCAGGGTGACCCTCTTTTTTCTTTTTCTTTTTTTGCTTCCCATTCACTTTCACCCTCCTAAGTTTTTAACACCACTTCGGGGAGGGGGGACACCAGGGGAATGAGGAGACAACCCCCCCTCAGAAGCACAATTAGAGCAACACACCTAAACTTCAACCCACAAAAGAATTAAAGGGTACGAGTGAAGTCTTTGGGGGGTGCCCCTCTCGCCAAGAAGAAAATGGCCCCATGGAGAAGAGAGAGAGAAGTTTAAAAGGAGTTTTGCACCCCCCCATTACTGTCAAGAGAACCTCCCCCAGATCTTAGCACCCCTTATTTTCTTTCCTCCCCCCCAAAAAACACACATAAGGTTCTTACCTGCTCAGTTTTGGGGGGCTCCGGTGGGAGGGAGGAGCGGCGGGGGGGCGTGGAGAAGGCGAAAGGGGGAGGGTTACATCCACACCACTTGAAGTAGGGGGGGAGCTTCCCGGGGCAGCAGCCGGCGAGGGGGTCCGGACCCCCCCTTTTCCAAAAAAATCAACTCACACACAAGCCCCCCCTTCTTTGAAGCCTTCCTATTGTTCTCTCCGCAACAATGTGGCCAACAGCCGCCGCGGGACGGAAACGGCTCCCGAAAGGTAACGAAAGGAACGAGATTAAAAAAAAAAAGAACGGCCCCCCAAAAGGAATTTTTGTATAATAAAAAATAAAAAAGGAAAGGGAGGGGGGCCAAAAAAGGGAAAGTCGGGGCTCCGAACGTTTGCTCCGCGCGCCTCTCTGGCCGGCGTCCGATTGGCCGCCCCAACGTTCGATCGGATGTTTTGCCTGTCCCTTTGATGTGGCCTCAACGTTCCATCCGCTCCCGGCGGAGTTTCAAGGAGCCCCAGAAGAGATCAAAAGAAAAGAAGTGGCGGTGAGGGGGGGGAGGGAAAAACCGCTGCTTCTTTTGGGGGGGGATTTTTCCCCTCCCCTTTTAGGGGCTGCTCAGCGTTTGCTCCTCCGGTTCATGGTCTCGATCTCGGGCTGGGCTTCTTTTTTTTTTCCCCCTTTCCTTTCTCTCTTCTTCCTCTCCTCCTTTGGCTTCTTTCTCCTCTCTTTTTTGTCTTCAGCTTCTCTCGCTCTCTGCCTCGCGCCCCCCTTCCCCGCCGCCCCGCCTGCTCTCCGGGGCTGTGGGACGGGCACCCCCTCTTTTCTTACCCCCCTCTTCTCCTCTCCTTCCACACACAGAAGCATCAGCAACTCTCTCCCCCTCTCTTTCTCCCCCCCTCCCAAAACTCCAGCACGCCTCCGACGGATCCTTCCGCCGCAGCGGCCATGGCTGAGCCCAGCGGCGCGCACACGCGCACAAACACGCGCGCGCGGGGGGGGGAGTGGGGGGGAGAGAGTGAGATAAGTGGGGTTCCCTGTCTGCCCCCTCGAGTTTCCAGGCTCCCCTGAAGGAGAAAATGGGGGGGGGAACGGATCGTTTTTAAGGAGGGTGTTTAAGCCTCCGCTATTCCCACCTCCATCCAAATACAGGTACTGTATGTACAGTATTTAGGAAGCCAAAAGGGGTGCAGAAAAAAAAAATGATAAACACTTAGATTTGAACCCACCCCCCTTCACCTAGGGCCCAATTCTTTGGAAAGCCCGTGGTGAGGAAAGAAGAATTTTGGAGACTTTCCCACAAGCTTCCCCCCCCCCAATGGAAGTATGAGCAAGCAAGGAAGGGCAGAAGAAAATGAGAAATAATTTGGATTTTTAAAAATCATCCTTTCTCCTGTGCTCCCAGATTTTATACACTGAAGGCAAAGCGTGGGAGAGAGGAGAAGATGTTTGGGATTTTTTGGGGGGAGGGGGTCCCGGATTCCTCTTGTCCAGCTTCCCAATATTTGGGAAAGGGGAGAAAGATGGACTTGGGGGGAAGGGGATTTTAAAAACATACCCACCAACCTACTCAGGAACTGCCAGGTTGGCCTAGAAGGGAGAGGTGGTTCTTTGGGGGAAAATAAGGTCAGGAAGGACTCCAGAACCCATCGGGCTTAGCCAGCTTGGCTGACGGTCTGGAAGATAGGTGCTGTAGTCCCAATAGTAGTGACAGGGCTCCTTTTTGCCCTTATAGCTTCCCACCCCTTTAACGGGTGTGTGTGTGTTGTGTTCAGATTTTGGGCTTCACCCCGGCGTCCAGAGAGCAGTTCACTTTATACCCTATTAATATTGGTTAAAAACCCCACCATTTGGTCAGGAGGAAATCCTAAAAGAGTTACAGAAGAAGCAGGGCCCGTTTTTAAGGTTCTTTTACTCGGGACCCAGGTGTTTCCAGACTACAAGCCCTATAATCCTTAGCACAGCTAACGGGTCAAGCATTGTGGGGTCTGGAGTCCCTCAAGTCACCTTCTTCCATTAGGTTGGGGGACTGAAGCAGGTGGGGTCTTTGTCCCTTTCTCTATTTTCCAGAACGTTTGCTTTTACAACTCCCTTCCTCTCCATGCAGGCAGGCCTGATTTAGGGGCTGATGGGATGTGCAGTCCCCATATATCTGGTTAGCTAGACATGAACCCAGTCTAGTACTCCAAAGGCTCATGCTTAACAAAAAGTAAATCCTATTCTTGAGAAAGTCGCTCCTGTTTGGGGAGTCTGCATGGGTCATGGCAGCTGGGGGGAGATTGTATATGTAGTCCAAAAAAGCAGCTTCCTCAAGGGAAAAATCAGTGAGAAGAATGTTATAGATAGAATATGAAATCCAGATAGCCTAGCTGCTTTGTGCTTTTTAAAATAACAAAACGTCTACGTTTTAGTGAATATTTTTGAATTTCTCCTTTTTTAAAATGGTATTTTTATGCTAAGGAAACAGTATCGCTTTGAGGTGGACAGCATTTTAAAAATCCACATATTTTTAAATTGAGAGGGCGTGGTCTCTCAAAAGCGGGCGGAGCGAGGGCGGAGCCACGGCTGCAAACTGGATGGATTGGGACTATTTTCCGAGGCGGAGGGACATACGTCCAAGAGTTTGCAGTGAGCGAGGCAAAAAACGAGAGCGAGAGCAGCGTGACGAAATGGGAGCACCGGAGAGATGGAATGATAAGGCCGAAGGGCAAGATCCAATGGGAAGGCGCGGCCCTCTAGAGTAACAGGTGGATGGACCAATCAGAGCAGGACCCTTGGCTCTTGGACTCCCCGCCTCCTTGCTGATTGACGGCCTAACCCTGCGAGCCTCGCTTCGCCTACTGAGCAAAGGGGGAGGCCCTGCAGGCGGCTGCGGCGGGTGCGCTTTTTGGTTTGACGTCTCCTGCCCGCGCTCTATTCGAGCATTATATTGGTTGGCGCGGCTACTTGTGAAAACAATATGAGTTGGGAGGGGGAAGAACTAACCAAACTTGAAATAAATGCATTTTATCTTTTGGGATGGTAAATGTAATTAGTCCTCGAGAGGCGGAGAGTTTTATTATATTTTATTTTGAATTTTAAAAGCAGTATCTGACATTTGTCATTAGGGCAAATTTTCTGTTGAGCATTTTCTTCAGTCTTCAAAGAACTTGAAATTTTTTTTCCTGGTTGAGATGCATGTTTTCTAATTACTATTTAAATTTATTCTTTTTACCAGTACCATCTGAGTGGATGATTTTGAAGGACCACTGCTAATTCTTTACAAGATGCTTATGAACAAAGATGGAAACAAGGATGGGCTTCTTAATAGTCATTATAGGCAAGAGAAAGATTTCCTGTATGGAGAATGAGTGCAGGGAAATCGCCCCCCCCCCCCAGGCAGACCACAGCTGCGATACAAGGATATCTGCAAGTGGGATCTGAAGGCCTTGGGAATGGACCTCAACAGATGGGAAACCTTGACCTCTGAGCCTTCAGCCTGGAGGCAGGCGGTGAAGCACGACCTCTCCCAATTTGAAGAGACCCTTGTTCTGCAGGCCGAGGCAAAGAGGCAGTCCCGGAAGCAGCAAAACCAGGGAGCTGGACAGGGGACAGATTGTATTTGTCTTCAGTGTGGAAGAGATTGTCACTCTTGAATTGGCCTTTTCAGCCACACTAGATGCTGTTCCAAGTCCTCAATACAGAGCATGTTACCATAGTCTCTCGAGATTGATGGATGCCTAAGAACAGGTGAGGGGAAGGGCCTGGTGGGCTCTGGTCCATAGGGTCACGACAAGACTCAATGACTAAACAACAAACAACAACAGGTGACTAAATTTGGGGGGGGGGGGTTGGATTTACAGTGCCCAGAAATTTTGGAAAGAAAGGGGGGAAAATCAACAGCCAACTGTTTTTGATACACTGCTTTCCTCATTAAAGGCAGAGGAGCAGCATGCCTCTTGATAAGTTGGCAGCCCAAGATCTAAACAACAAAAACAGTAATAATAATTCAGAGCAAAGGGATGGCAAACTAGAAATCATTTTTTTCTCCACTTGCAGTGGAAAAACACGTATGAGCTTGCTCCATCATCCTCTCCACCTGCCCCCCAAAAAGTTGTTTCAGCATTTAGAAACCATCATCTCTCAGACTTTCCCAGACAGATCAGGCCTTTCAGCAGGAGACACCTTTGTACTTTCAGTGGGGGCTGGCCCCAGCAAGGATGGCAAGCCACACTCTGGTACCCATCATCCCCGTTCTGCCGCATCCAGAAACCCAGCTGAATGGATTGGTGGGTCAGCTCTTCCTTTAACACCTGGGGTCAGGACTGTAAGGAACCAGCAAGCCTCCAAATCTAGGAAAAGGGATAGAAAAATAAACAGACACGCTCCCTGGCCTTATTTACTTACCTCTTTTTTTAAAAAAAAATTACCAATTTTTTTCTCTCTCTTTTAGTGGAAATCACTTTCTCCTCATTTACCCCCTCCCAGGTGATGTGGGGGGTGGGCTCACAAGCAGAGTGGGTGGGAAATAGTATCCTGTTGCCCTGATAGCCAAACACAGCTACTTCGGGCTCTCTTGCACGAGCCAGCACCAGGGTCTCTCACTTCCTCCGAGGTTAAGATGGCTGTTGATGCATCGCCCAGAAAAAAAGGGGAGGCAGCCAGTTACATAACACACCACCTGCTAAAACTGGAAGGGGGGGTAGAAATGCACAATGAGCTCTCTACTTCATTCTCGGAACAACAACCCTGTAAGGAAGCTCAAGGAGGCAGAGAGAGAAAATCCGTGAGCAAGTGGGTTGACCGACCCAATCTTTCAGGATTTGACTCAGAAGAACTTGAACTCCGATCTGCTCTAGCTCACTGCACCGCTCCGAATACGGACAGTGACTCATCCAGAGTGAGGTCAGCAGACCTCCCGGCTGATTCCTTAAACCGAATTGATGCCAGGGAGGGTGGAGGGAGTGAAAGGGGTTTTTACAGGAAGTATTCCACTTTAAAAGAGAGGGGTGAGGGAGGAGGGAGCTGACAGAAAAGCCCTGTGCTATTCCAAGGAAGAAAAGGAGCAGGAAAATACCCATTTCTGAACAGCAAGGCTGGGGATGGTGACCATTCCCATCCGAGAAATATTTAAAACGCTCGCTTTCGCACCCATGACAAACCCTTCTGAAAACGTCCGCAACGCGATTAGAAACGCACTCATTTGTCAGGCATCTCTTTCCCCAGATGAAACACCCAGCCCTGGTATTTCCCTGATCCAGTATAGAGCTACCAATATACAAAGCCTCAACAAAAAGCTGGTGTTTTTTTAAAATGCTCTGTGGCTACACAAGGTTGCAAAGTCCCCCCCTCCCCAAAAAAACCCATCCTCACTGCTCAGATAGACCGCTCCTGTTTCAAAGAGTTTCACATGTGCTGGAATGAGCCTTGGGATCTTCTTCTACTCTCCCTCCCCGCCTTCCACTCCCCTCTTGGCTGCAGTATTTGAGGAGCACAATGTGCTTCGCTGTGTTAGGCTGCAGGAATCGCGTTAGGACGATGCGAACATACCTGGGGACCCCGACCAATATTATTGGAGGGCCTCATCATAGCCAGTGGGGTGGGATGGTGCCATACCCTCTTTGGAAGGGTCACACGGCGCTATATAGAACACATCACAGACTTAGCCAAGAGCAGTCTATCTTAAAAGGGGAGGAATGGGAAGATCTGGTTCAACTGGTGTACGAGGAATGGAGAGGATTGTTCCACGCCCACCAGGGCTGTGCCCTCTCACTCCCCTTTCCACATGCCGATTTCTGCCCTCTTTCTGGGCAGCTTGGTGGAATAAAAAACGTTTAGTCATCCGGTGAGCGAGGCGTCCTAAAATGTCTGTGGCTGAAATACCTCGGGGCTGACTTCTCTCTTCCTGGGACAGATGGCTGTTTTTC